TGTGGAAATGGCCCGCAATGAAGACACAGCTGTGGCTTAACAGACCAAGAACCCCGCCGTTAAGCCAACTATCGCAAACTGCACTTGAACGCCCCCGCACGCAAACGGGCATTGTCTAAGTCTTCAAACAAAGATAATTGTGTTTTAGATCTATTATTTTTAGCGGTTCATTTCTATTACCTTTTGTTGTTTTGGCTGATCGACTTGTGGGATTTTGATGTCTCCTACTTTAAGGTACTGTTTAGTGATGTCAGTTTTTAAGTATCGGGCTTGTGCTCACACTCTATTCTGATGTCAAATTTATGTGTAGGATATTAAAGAAAAAAATAATGCTAGAGGTACAGATTTTAGTTCATGGATTTTTTACAGATATACATTTGGCGACTTTTCATTCGTCCATGACAAAAAGCACAAAAAACAGATCCAATCAGATGCTGCCATCTGTAAATCTTCAGTAATGAAATTTTCTGTCCATGTGATTTTTTCCTAAAGAAAAAGGGGTTGCAGATCTATTAGTTTTACCTATAGATGCTTTTCCTTTTGAACATCTTTCATTCAAGATAGAGTAATGCAAATTATCTCTCTATATTTACGTTTTATTATAAGGTGAGATATGACAAATTTTCTCCAACGCGGAAAGGATTAAACATTTAGCAACACATGCTTATGTTTGATGTAATCAGTGCTTAACACAAATAATTTTTTTCTTATCTCTCTACTATTACGTAATTAAGTTAACTATGTTATGGCACTCACGTCTCACTAGTAGTATATAAACATAGTTCGACACATTAGTGCAGACCAACAATGTGTTCCCACATTAAAAAAAATTTCTATTGCAATATAATTTTGTTAAGTATGAAACACAATTTAAGTGTTAAATGAGGCATGATGTAACATGGAAAATTCACAGAAACTAAAAATGTAAAACATAATGCCCCTGCTCGAGCCCCATTTTTGAAATAGTTATTTTTTGAAAAAATGTGTGATTAAAAAATTATGAAATTTATTGAATTTACGTGTAAAATTATTTTATGAGAAAATGTGCAGTTAAAAATGAGTTTTTTAAAAAAATAAATTTTGAGAAAAATAATGCTCTAACATAGGCAATAACTTTGAAAATTCGTAAAAAAAACCCTTGTTCATGATTTCTTGACTTGTACAAACTTTGAAACGTGAAGAATCA